ACGCTGTTTCCGAGACAATCTCCTTCGATTCCGGTGAAAAGGTGCTAAGTTTTCGTCCGTCATATGACGAGTTATCTTGAATTTTGTTGTGACGATGTTACCTCGCTCTGATGATGTCCGTCATGAGGGATGAAAGCTTAGCACCTTTTCACCGGAATCGAAGAAGATCACCTCGGAAACGGTGTCAGCATGAATCTTCCAGTAAAGCCAATCGACAGCTGGTAAAGAGGAACCCGCCGTCGTCTTCTGGTGGAACCGACCGTCGAACCTCTTCACCCAAAACTTTCACTCGAAATGGAAGTAAGCTCAGCAATCACGCAGGATAATATTCAAGTTTTCACTTAGCCTTACCTCCAAAGAGGTTTTCTCGTCCAGGCTGGGCTGGGCTTCAGTACCGACCTCGTCTAGGCGACATCAGCACCATCTACAGGATGCGAAACCAAGCTGTTGACATCGTGGCGGCACCTCACCATTCCATCACAGCCACGGGCGCAATTGAATAAATGCAGTTTTTAGAACAAGCCCAGCTTCTCATAAACCACATTTTATGGCGGTTTTGTTGATGAACAATTCATGTATTTGCCAATTCAATCGACGACATAGCTCATTCTCAGTACGGGTAGACATGGAAACAATAGTATCTAAACCTAGTCACACTTCACAACAGCCCCTCGAGAGTGGAGATTTCAAACAGCCGCCTGCTCATTCTCGTGCCTCCCGAAGCGGAAGCAAATCACGGACTTTCGGAGGGTGAACAGGACAGGTCGGCTCGAGGAGGAGGCTCATTGTCGCCATGGCCGCACGCGCTCTGCAAGTAGACGCAATTGGGCCCGAATGCTCGTATGGGCGCCGCGTCTCTAATCGGAGCGCGAACGACTCCCTCCGCCTACAGGCACTCCCGAACATGTTGCACGGGTACGAGTGAAACTGTGGCCTACTGACAGACAACGTTTGCCTCAAATGCTCTCTCAGCGTATGCAACTAACGAGAGCGACAAAACGAGGCAGGAACTTCGAGAAAAGTTCAACCAAAGCACTTCCCACAATATGACCCAAACCGCGGCTGGTAGTAGAATTTTCCTACAATGATATGAGTTGAGCTGGCTTTTTCCATTGAATTTCACATAGCCTTGCTTTTCCAAAAGTTCTTCT